CCAAAGAATAACAATCAAAAGCTTAGATAAAATAAATTTAATTTAGCCAAAAAAGATTATACATAAATTTAAGAAAATGAATTCATTTATGTAAAGGAATCTAAAATATATCCATATCCAGAGTTTCGGTGGGCCCCCTGGACATTTCGCCTACCGCAACCGGTGCAAGATTTTCAATTCCACGGTTCAAACCGAATAATTCGTAGGTTTAAACCGGTTTCGCGAAGCCGGGTACCAAAACGCTAAAAATCACAGTAGGAAGTTAAGAAACCGACGGACAAGTTGTCGTAGAGAACGGAAAGCGATCGAGAAGGCGAAATTGTTTGATCATCGAAATAAAAAGTTGTTCGTGAGAAACGAAACAGTTGGGAACAGTCGAGGAACGAAGATGGCAGTGGCAGATTTCGGAAAGCTGAATCTCGAGGAACCTCCTCCGGTCTGGGGATCTCGCAGTGTTGATTGCTTCGAAAAGCTCGAACAAATTGGTGAAGGAACTTACGGGTCTACTTCTCAAAAATCCTTTCCCTATTTCCTTTGAATTCAATTTCAAGTTTCTGGGTATTCAATTTTTTACTTGGAGCTTGATGAATTGGGGTTTGATTGTAGGATTCGTCTTCTAATTTTGAAGGTTCAGTGAAAGCTAAATCTGAGATTACATAATTATTATTGTTTTTTTTTCTTTTGCTATTGCAGTCAAGTTTACATGGCTAAAGACATAAAAACTGGTGAAATTGTGGCTCTGAAAAAGATCCGTATGGACAATGAAAGAGAAGGGGTAATGTGATTCTTTTCTCTTTATATCGACCATTAAGTTTTTATGATGCTCACTAAATTACTGCTAGCTTAGAACATATGCAGGTTACTGTATCGAATACGAATTGTGTAACTTATTGTCACAGTTGGTGTATGATGCAGTTTCCTATAACAGCTATCAGGGAGATCAAAATTCTGAAGAAGCTTCATCATGAAAATGTCATTCATCTTAAAGAGATTGTGACTTCACCAGGTATGTATAAGGAATTGTCTTATTAACGAGGTCTATAAAATTTTGGTGTTTCATGAATGGTTCTGTCTCTAAAACAGGTCGGGACAGGGATGACCAAGGAAAGCCTGGTTAGTGAAAGAGTGATTTCCATTTTTGTCTCATTTTCTGCAAAACTTGGGATTTCTTCTCACCTAAAGGTTGTGGCTTTGTATCTATGTGGAATTATAGATAATAACAAATACAAGGGTGGTATCTACATGGTTTTTGAGTATATGGATCATGACTTGACTGGACTCGCTGATCGTCCTGGACTGAGATTTACTATTCCTCAAATCAAGGTATTTGCACAGCTATGTTGTTTTCTAATGCTATAAACCTTTGCGTACCTATTGTTCGACTTTTTTTCTTTCTAATATTCAATCCATGTAAAAGTGTTACATGAAGCAACTTCTCACTGGGCTTCACTGTTGTCATGTGAATCAAGTTCTTCACCGTGATATAAAAGGTGGCTTTCCCAAATACATTGTTGATGTTTGATTATTACCTTTACTTGCTTATTAATCTACATATCTTGGTGCAGGCTCAAATCTCCTTATTGACAATGAGGGAAATTTAAAGCTGGCAGATTTTGGGCTTGCACGATTGTTTTCTCATGATCATAGTGGAAATCTCACAAATCGTGTCATCACATTGTGGTATAGGTAAGCCTACAAATCGCCATTTTAACTTTACTTTGAAAATACTTAGATAGTCATCACTCTGCATTATGTATCAGTTATTGTTGCTTTGCTGACTTACAAATATTGTGGCAGGCCCCCTGAGTTACTACTCGGGGCCACGAAATATGGACCAGCAATTGATATGTGGTCGGTTGGTTGCATATTTGCCGAACTTTTGCATGCAAAACCAATCTTGCCTGGGAAAAATGAGGTCAGGGTTTCATCTTTGCTGATATGTCAGTTCTTTTGAACATTTCAGATGTTCGTACAGTGTGCTTTGATGCCATGAATAGTATAAGAATCTATCTGGTCTCCTGGTTGCGTTATGATACAAGTATTGGCCTTTGACCCTCGAAGGCTTCACTACTCCATAATTAGAGTATAATAACTAGTCATTACTTTCATTAGTGGTTTAACTGCAGTTAAGTGGACCTGTCTTTGATAATCTGAAAATGATATGTTCTGTCTCCTACATTGTTTCAGCATGAACAATTAAACAAGATTTTTGAGCTTTGTGGATCACCCGATGAGAACAATTGGCCCGGGGTTTCCAAGATGCCTTGGTTTAACAATTTCAAGCCCGCACGGGTCTTGAAGAGACGTGTAAAAGAGTTTTTCAAACAGTAAGTAAACCGAACTAATATATGATATAGCTACTCTTTTACTCGAGTACTTTGATCAGAAGATTTCAGTTGGCCTTTCTCTTCTGCCGTAGCTTTGACCGCCATGCCCTTGAACTACTGGAGAAAATGTTGGTACTTGACCCGTCACAGGTACAGAGATCTTTATCCTTATTTGCTGTCAATTTTCTTCTGAAAATAATTCGAAACTGCGAAGAAACTTTTGTCTCTAATTGTTTCTTAGATGAAGCATACCTCTTCAAGTTAGGACATTATTAACACCATTTTACACCTGTTCTTGACATTTAAGTTCATTTTTTCCTCGCTTTCACCTGGTGTAGAGAATAAACGCAAAGGATGCTCTTGATGCCGAGTACTTTTGGACTGATCCGCTGCCATGTGATCCAAAGAGGTGACAGTATTTCCTGATTTTATCTTACAAATTCATGAAACTCATGTTTAATCTTCATCATCTATAGCTCTATTAGACATATGCAATTTACGCATCATCTGGGAAATTCTTCTGACTAGAACAATGTTTCATATCAACAGTCTGCCCACATATGAATCATCACATGAGTTTCAGACAAAGAAAAAGCGGCAACAGCAGCGCCAAAACGAGGAAGCAGCAAAAAGACAGAAAGTGCAGCATCCACAGCAGCAGTACTCTCGCTTGCCTCCATTACAACACGGTGGCCAGTCTCATGCTGCTCCGCATTGGCATGCCGGTCCAAACCATCCCACTAATAACGCACCTCCACAAGTACCTGCTGGACCTAGCCACCACTTGTATGGTAAGCAGCGTGGTCCAAACCGGTACCCTCCTAGTGGAAACCAGAGTGGAGGTTACAATCAGACCCGAGGAGGTTACAGTGGTGGATCATATCCTCCACAAGGACGGGGAGCTCCTTATGTAGCAGGTCCTAGAGGGCCTAGCGGTGGTGCATACGGAGTTGGAGCACCTAACTACACACAAGGTGGTCAGTATGGCGGCTCTGGAAGAGGTCAGAACCCAATGGGTGGTAGTAGAAACCAGCAATACGGATGGCAACAGTAAAGAGCGATAACTATTTCTTGCTCCTTGTCTAATATATTACACTTGGGGGGCATAGTACGAATTGGTATGAGAAATTGAATCTTCTTGTTCAAACCTTTTTCCTGTCTTATTTCGCTATCCAAACAGTATCTAGTAATGTCGAGATAGAGATTGACAGAGTATAATGTGAAAGAAATGAGCAATCAGAACAGAGCAAAACATTGCCATTCTTCTTCTTAGGCTTTCATGCGTCATTATTACACAACTCTATATTGAACACAACATCCCAAAGAAAACTAGAGCCTCCAAGTAAAAATTTCTTTCCTTTTACCAAAATTTATTTATTCCACCAAGTTATGAATCTTTTCTTTATAAATCTTCCTACTCTGTTTTGCTGTTAAAGTATATTTGAATTTGATTAACACGCACAGCCACCTCGTTGTTGCTCCACTTGAGACGAATTGGTAGATGGCTTTAGGTTCACATCGACCATATCGCCTTGTTTCGCTGAAGAAAATGCCTCCATTCCTGGCAATGCAGCTGAAATCTTGCGGAAGAGTGGCTGCAAGTTTCCAAAATACCAAAGAAAAAACCACAGAGCATCGTTATTCCAAGAAATCTCAAGATCTTAAACAGAGAGTCATGAGGATATAGTTGCTTCTCACCTTGATGTTAAATCCTGCTTTTGCACTTGTCTCTATGAATATTACTCCGAAATCACGAGCTTTGTTATCCCCTTCCTCTATCGACACTTGCCTGTCAAATGGAAATGTCAAGTTGATAGCTAGATGGCAAAAGTTTCTATGCCTTGTGGTCAGTCTCAGTCATGTATGTAGCTTATTAAAACATGCTTTTTTTTGTTTTCTTTTAGGTGTATGATTTGGAACTGATATTATTAAGTCAAGTGTTTCTTACCTCTTGTCAACGAGATCTGTTTTGTTACCCACCAGAACAATTATGACATCGCTGCCTCTTTCTGTACGAACATCATCAATCCACTTCGAGGTGTTCAAGAATGACTGCCTGTCTGTACATTACAAAACCGTAAAAAGATGACACTTTACACAGAACCATTGCAAAAACTACGAGAACTGATAAGCTATGTGTTCATATATGATTCTACAAAGAAGGATGTATATAAAGGCTCTAGTTTCATGGTAAAGCAGAAAAGTTGTCAAAAGAAGCCTTACTTGCAACATCATAGACAATTACAGCAACCGAAGAATCTCTGATATAACTCGGAATTAGACTTCGAAACCTCTCCTGCCCAGCAGTATCCCTGCATTATACAAGTCGACGCTCACTGAAACGCACATATCAAATCAAACACCAGACAAACTACATGCATAGACCTAACTAAATCTCAAAAAGAATTGAAATTTTTTGCCATAGTCAATAAGATGATACATGGTATTAGTAGCTGAAAAATTCCATAGGCATACAAGTAAGTACAACAACAGATACCTGATGACCACTTAGGCCTTAAGCATCTTAAGCAAAACTCCTTTAAAAGCATAAATTGCGTTTTGAATTAATCAGAGAGGCCTCATCTTCGACATTACCATCTAAAAACTTGTGCAAAAAAACTGTAAATTTTGGAATAGGAATGGAATGATTTACCATAGTTGTAGACGAAGAGTCCTATCCTCAAGGTACATTGTCTTGGACAAGAAATCAATCCCAATAGTAGCCTGCAAATTTTTTTCCCCAATTACAATCAACAAAACAAAATTTCACTACATATAACCAAAATCCACAATGATTTTGAATCTGATCCAGATCTTCCACACATTCACATAACAACATCGAATTCGATCGCAGATCACAACAGATTAAACATACAACCAGAACAAATTGTAGATCGCAATTGATTTTGAGAGAAAAATGATCGATCGATTTGGTGGATGATTCAGACCTGATAAGTGGTATCGAATTTGTCGTACATGAAACGAGTGATGATGCTAGTCTTGCCTACGGATTGATCTCCAAGGAATACGAGCTTGTATTTGGCTAAAGGTGACACAGACGCCATTTTTGTTCTCGGATCTTCTTCACCGTGAAGAAATTGAGGTCTAGATCTGACTTTTGCGATTTTTCAGGTACGTATTTGAGAAATCGAAAGGCGAGGATTTGATTTAGACGCGTTTTATTTATATGGATTTAACCCAAAAGTAACCGCCAACCACGGAAAGATTAATTTCTCTCTAGTGAAAAATAAAATAAAACTCATAAAAATAGGTAAATAGTAGTGTAATTATTCCATAGAAAAATACCTTGAGATCTTTTACTTTACGTTGATTAATTGTTTAGTTTTATCTTTTTTCAAAGATTAGAGTTTTATTACATTTGCCTAATTTTAGCAAATTGAATTCTTATATTCGAATCTATGAAATAATTTGTCAAATAGTATCAGTGTATCTTTATCACCTGTCTCTTTCTTTTTGCATGCAAAATCCTATGTAGAATATTTTTTTTATGTGTTCTTGTTTCCATGGTAAAGAAAACAACAAAATATAAGAATCTAATTTTATTGGCATAGGAAACTTTCATAATCACCTTTACTCTAAAAAGAAAGATAAAAGCGTCTAAATTTCTTTTAATCCACACAAATCAAGTAATTTAATTGGATACCATTTTCCTTTTTCAAACAACGACGCCGTATAGAAAACCTTTTAAGATCCTACACCAACTACTAACTAGTCCATATACGATTGAGATTTATCAGACCAGTAAATATATGGTGATGACAAAAAAAAAAAAGATCGTATTTTAAAGACAAACATTTTGTCCCTCACATAACATTAAGCAATAAGCACTTCAAATATTCCACAACGACAAGTACAACACAACTGTTTTTTTCAAGGGAAATTGGCAATTATAGCCAAGAAAAAAAAACATAACCTAATATCTAACCAAAACACCCTTATGTGGCAAAACTATAGCCATTAGATTTAGGTGTTTTGGTTAGA